ACCTGCCTGTTTCTATGGCCAGGTTGTGAGCACTCAGTCTGTACTTTGTCAACAACTTCCTGTGTTTAACATCAGTCACTGTGGTCAGGTAGGCTGCCACAGTGTACTGTCTCTTTAGGGCCAGATAGCATTGCATTTTACTTTGTGTTTGGGATTTAGTGTTCCAATAAGTGAGGTAGTTTTGTGTGTGTTTTGTTATAATTTGGTTGACTCTAATAGATGTGGGCTCAGCCTGGCCCAGATCACAGTTTGAACCGGTTTGTGAACAGAGTGTCAGGACCAGCTGAGAGAGGGGACTCTTGTTCACCTCTTGATGCTGCAGGGCTTTGTGGTGGTAGGAGTGGGGGTCACTTTCTTTTAGATGTAGCCATATTTAATTGGATCGTTTCGGGATGTATTATAATGGAAATGTGACTAANTCTTCTCTGTCTCCCTGTCTGCCCCTGGCTCCGCCTCTCCACAGGTGTTTCGGCTTCCTTCTCCTGTGGTTTCTCCTTATAACGGGTGAAGTGGAATTGGAAACACCTGTGGAGAGGCGGAGCCAGGGGCAGACAGGGAGACAGAGAAGAGAACACGGAGGGGAGCATGTAACAGTCACCAACCTTCTGTGTATGTTGGTGCTATGACCGGCCCGTAGGCCACAACATGAAAACAGAGAGAGACGTTTGAGGGTTCCAAAAACCACGGCACTTTTATTGTGATAGGTCCAAGGCGAGGGGAAAGGATCCCGGCGAGAGTCCTCCTGCAGCGGGCTTGGAGAGAGTCACGAAGGCCATGTGACTCCATGCAACTGGGCTTAAATAGCACCTCCTTCGGCCAGGTGTCCCCAGTCATGCTGATTGGCCTCTTCAGCTCCACCCCCATCGCAGGACCTGCAACACACAAGCACACTCACAGGCCCCAGGCTATTTTTTCCTTTTGTATTTACTATTTACTTGCACTGTTTATCTGTTTTATTGTGTTACACTGTTGGAGGAGCCTGTGACCTAAGATTATCATCGTCATAACTACACTGTAGCTATGCACGTATGATCAATAAAAGCCTTGAACCTTGAGCATACATCTCAAATGTGACCAATCAGTTGGTGATCTTCCCTGAAATGTGGTAGAGCTAAATGGACATTTCAACACCTGAGAGGTGATTTTTTTTCTATCTGGAGTCTTGTACCCTTGATCAGAGGACAACTGTCATAACTGGAGATGAAACTTGCAACTTTTTGACCAATGACTGACGTGTAAAAACCGTCTTTGCTGCCAGGTAAAATCGACATCTGTGTCTCAGACAGACAGCACATGAAGATAAATGAATGAGACATCCATGTCTTTTCCTTTCATCTGGAGTAATAGATGGACGCTGCAATGAATTGAAAGGTTAGGGGAAGCCCACTGCTGCTAAAAAGTCTGCATCAAATATTAATGAGAGGAGCATGGGATGATTTAGTCTGTGTATTATTAATGATGACATTGGCAGAGTCAAAATGAGTAAAGGACACCGCCTGTAAACAGAGCACTGTTTAGAAGCCTTAAGCTATATAACTGACATGTTTATACATTTATATATTCCTTTAATTTGGCTTAGGACCATCCAATTAGTGTTTGCAAATATTTTCTGACAATATAAAAGGCCGATAATTAATGTGAGTTTGTGATGTTAAATGTAAAGCCTGGAGCTGCTCTGCATGAATTTGAGGAAACAGGTGGCAGTGACAGAATCTGGGGGGTTTTCTGGTTAATTTTGTTTTTTGTAGAGATAATACCACAACTATTAGATCGAATGCATGTGATTATGAAAACAATGCATAACTCAGAAATAACTGGTATTATCTGGGTAGCATAACATTTCACAGATTATAGGAATATAAAAGAAGCTTTATGGATTTATTATAGCAGATCATGCCCTCTCGAGACTAGTCGTTTTTTGTTCAAAGTTTTAAAACGTTAAACTTTTATAATAACTCATGTTTACATTTTCCCCTTGAGCAACTTCTCATAATGCAAATAAGGACTCTTCTCTCTAAATAGCTTAGGCAGAAACCAAAACATTTTTAACATGACCATCTCTCTCAGTTAACCCCAATAAATACTTTAACCATAGGGATGAAATGTCAGAAAGGTCTTTTTTAGATTTTTAAAGCACTGAAAAGTCAACGTACTCATTGGTATATTCCTTAAAAACCCTATGTGTTCATTTATAATGTTTGGGAAATTCCAGGTCCATTTGTGTAAGCTTATGAAATGTTGTCTTTTTAGCATTTTCTTTCTAGCCAAGCTAGCTTTACATTCATTGTTATAACTAAACTATTCACACTTATTTTTTAATAGTTGACAAATGGCTTAAGGAACTTTAATATATGGCCTGGATTTGCACATTTTTTTATATTTAATGTATTTTATAAAAGACATTTAATAAATGGCATTCAATGGAAATGTATCTTGATAAGAGACACTTGAAATGACCAAAGCAAATGGAGCCATTACATGTGTAGAAACTGATGTCCAGAATAACCATAAAACGTAATAGGTGCCCATCAAAACATTACCCTATACCCAAAGGGATCCTTCACTGAAGATGATCCTAATAGAAGTACATTCAGATTATAACTAACAACACTGGCAGACTCTGCATGTGTTTAAACTGTATTTAACAACGTTTGACCAACAGTTCAGTTGATTTATGGTAGGAGGTGGCTGCTGTTCTTGTAACTGGATTTGTAATTGAAGAAAAAAGAAAAAACCTTTTGACAAATTCTCTATTTTATTTTCTGTCAATGGCAGTTGACAAAGAACATTGTAATGTTTAATGATATATTTTGCCTATAATTACTAAATATCATGGTGGTAAATATATAGATGTATAATGTATATACATTTTTATTGTGGGCGTATATTTAAGCAATAGCTCACGACAGGCCGTGGTATATGCTCATTATATCACAGCTAAGGGACGTGGTTCGGCCCGACGCGAAGCGAGCAGGCAGTTTGCTTTTCAGCCCAATACAGTTTTTCTCAGACGCGGATGGATACTGACTTGTTGTGAAAAGTAACTACAATTCTACCCGTGCTATACGCTCAGTATATCACGGCAAAG